TAATAATAATAATAATAATAATAATAATAATAATAATAATGGCTACCTTACTTGGATCTGCATGCATCATTTGAAAATACATCACACAGTTCTAGACACTTGAGAAGTGTTCGACTTGTGATTTTGTCATACGAATTCCAGCATGTAGCTCTCGTTTGCTGTGACATACTGTGTTTTTATTAATAATAATAATAATAATAATAATAATAATAATAATAATAATAATAATTCACATTTATATTCCTCTCTATCTCCTCGAGGGGACTCAGAGTGAATTACAGAATACATATTCTAGCAAACATTCGATGCCATTATACAATTAACAGAGACAGACAGTACATGAACAGAGGCAAGGCTTCCCTCTTTTTCATTTCCGTCATCTGGAGGCTGTGCTTGACTCAGCCACGAGGAGGAGCTGTTGTTCCATTTTTCCATGCCAAGGAGCCTCTTGACCATGGACCCCTTCCTGATCATATTGCTGGCTTGTCTTCAGGGGCGCCTTTTGCCTGCCCACCAAAGCGGTACCTATTTATCTACTCACATTGCTGTTTTCGAGCTGCTAGGTAAGAAGAAACTGGAGCTGATGACGGGATCTCATCCTGCTCATGGCTTTAACTGCCAACGTTACAGTTAACTTTGGCTCCTTTAGCTTTCTCTGCCAAAGTATCGGCGCCTCACCCATCTAAATCTCCCATGATTCCATAGCATTCAGCCATGGCAGTTCAAGTGGAGTCAAGTTGCATTATTTCTACAATGTAGATGCACCCTATATCTTCTGTGTCTTCTCATCAGCTTCTCTTCTCTTGACTATGGTTAGATATTGTGTGGGATGGGGGGGGGTCTTACAGTCGCTTCTAGCTCTGGGTACAATGGAGCTGGGCCTGTCTCTTCCTCTTTCCCTTCAAGGTAGTGGCAACTGGGATAGAAGGAGGACCTTTCATCTACTTCTGGGTTTAGATATTTATGGATATGCCTCCTCTTCATTCCTGCTGAGTCCAGGGCAGTGGCAGTTGGGGTGAAGGGGAAGGACTTTCAGTTGCTTCTAGACTTACGCCCGATGTAGCCATGTTTGCCTCTTAATCTTTAAGGCCAAAGGTGTGCAACCAGATTCCAGGAAGGTGGCTCCAACTACAACAAGGACATCCTAGGGCCTGCCAAAATGGCCAAGAGAACTATACAGTTGCACCCGGTGGCCCATCTTTGGTTGAGGAAGTAATGTTCTTCAGCCATGTTCTTCAGTTTATACTAATGACCTTTGTGTGTCTCTATGGCAGTGGTTCTCAACCTGTGGGTCCCCAGGTGTTTTAACCTGCAACTCCCAGTTTACTAGCTGTTAGGATTTCTGAGAGTTGAAGGCCAAAACATCAGGGAACCCACAAGTTGAGAACCACAGCTCTATGGGGTTCTTTGCCTCCTTGTTAAGCACCTACTTCATTTTTCTTGCCCTTTCCTAATCATACTTCTCCTCGAGGAGATTGCTGTTGTTTATGCGTTCAGTCTGTGCCATCACACCCAGACACTATAAAGTTAAAACTAAGATGTGCTTCTCTCTTTATCCGGGTGAACTGTGGGTGCCTTACTTAGAAGCTCAAAATTCCCAGCAACTGAGGCCAGTCCAGATTTGAACATCAAACAAAACATTTATTTCTCAAAGTRCTTGACAGACTTGGCACAGCTTGATGAAGTTACAAACACAAACAGTCAACTCGTGAAACCATATAGATGTTCTTTCCTTCCCTTTTTCTTCAGCTGCTGAGTTAACTTTCCCCAACGARAGAAAAATCCTGGGATCTTTTACCCTAACCCTGAGCTGCTATCTTTTAGAAAGAGCAGGTCTTCCCCTATCTGAGCTCAAGGTTAGTTTTGGAGATGAAGTAATGGAACCTCTCCCAATGGCAGAGAAATCCTGAGATATTCTCTGCCCCAGCYRTGAGCTACTACCCTTTGGAAAGAGCAGGTCTTTCTCTATTTGAGCTCAGCACCAGTTTATTTATTTATTTATTTATTTATTTATTTATTTATTATTTCGAGTATTTCTACCCCACCCTTCTCAACCCCCGAAGGGGGTTACAAAAGACACAATTCGATGCCAGCAATATACATAGTAAGATAAAATACATAGCAGCAACAATTATAAAATAATTAAAACAATCCAGTTATACAATACAACTAATAAAAACCAATTTAGTGATCAACGTTCGCCAAGCTCAAAATCCATAAGTTCATTCAGCATTGTCATAATCCTATCCAATTCTAGTCGTCACTGTCCTTTGTCTGTCTGCCAGATTACCCAAAGGCCTGGTCCCATATCCATGTTTTTAGTTTCCTTCTAAAAGAGAGGAGGGATGTCAATGACCTAATAGCGAATTCCACAGGTGAGGGGCCACCACCGAGAAGGCCCTGCTCCTCGTCCCCACCAACCTCACTTGTGATAGAGGTGGGGCCGAAAGCAGGGCCTCCCCAGAAGATCTTAAACTCCAAGGTGGGACGTAGAAGGAGGTGCGTTTGGACAGGTACGCTGGGCCGGAGCTGTATAGGGTTTTGTAGGTCAAAACCAGCACTTTGAATTGTGCTTGAAACTGGATCGGCAGCCAGTGGAGCTGACGTAACAGAGGGGTGGTATGTTCCCTGTATGACGCTCCGGTGAGTAATCTGACCGCTGCCCGTTGGACTAATTGAAGTTTCCAAACAGTCTTCAAAGGCAACCCCACATAGAGTGTGTTGCAGTAATCTATTCGGGATGTAACAAGAGCGTGGACCACTGTGGCCAGGCCTGACTTCCCAAGGTACGGGGCCAACTGGCACACAAATTTCAAAGGCAAGGGGGTAACCGTACTCACAATGGCCTGTCCGAGCTGCCTAGCTTGGCCACCATTATATCTGAGGTTTTTTCTATACTAAAGAAGGCAGGAGAGCTTCTCCAAAATGGAGATCTCATCCCCAGAAAAAAGGGCGGTCTCTGGACCAAAAGGATACCTTTTTAAACCAATAACAGCAAAAGGCTTGCAGGCTGGCTTCCATCCTCTGTTAGTGTTTAACTTTCAGGGCGCTGCTGAGACTGTAGCAACCCTGGGGGAAAATGCAAAGGGATGCTATTTTATGCAATTCAGGGGCAATGCAAACCAAGCTCCTAGAAGACGGAACACAGTTGCTTCCGACTCTTGATGACCTCATGGACCAGCCCATGGCAGAGCTCCCTGTCGACTGTCACCACCCCCAGCTCCTTCAAGGTCAATCCAGTCACTTCAAGGATGCCATCCATCTTGCCCTTGGTCGGCCCCTCTTCCTTTTTCCTTCCATTTTCCCCAGCATAATTGTCTTCTCTAGGAGATAGAGGGCTAAGTGCCGAGGATGCAGAGCAGGAGTAGGAGCATTGTTCACACAAGGGTTTCAATGGGTTGATGGAATGATGGGTTCATTTGTTTGGGAGAGGGATGCTGTTTGAAGGCTCTTCCTCAATGGGTTCTTTTAATCTGCAAAAGGAGAGGGGTGATATGAAAAAAGAAGACCTTCCTTGGCTTTCTCGGGAGCCTCATACATGCTGGAATCTCAACCATGACAGCTGATCGTAGCCCCTTTCATGAGTTGGTGATTTGCTCTGGGTCTTAGTCTGAACAAGATGAGTTTACCATTTATTTTAGGAGACGGTTTGACATCAGATGTTGAGACTAAGCCACAGAATAGATTCACCTAACCTGCAGTCATGGGAATGCCGAGATGGGGTGTTCTATACCCGTCTTGAGAATCCAACCAGTGTCCTTCTGGAGATGGTCAAAATTTAACTCAAAACTTATGCTTTGTATGAATCGTGAGATGCATAACTGTTGGATGGGATTTGGGGTGGGTTTTGTAAACATTGCTGAATATTAAAAAAATATTGTGATTGCTGGTATGCCATTGTGCCAAGCTTTTTACAGGGACGTCAACCATTTTTGGAGATCTGCTTTGGCCAACTTGAGACCAATGGAACTGGTTCTTCTTTCCCCAGTGTGCATTTTCTAGAGCTCAAACCTCCCTCTCTTTCTCTCAACCTCAAGAATTTTTGTCTTGATTTTTAAAATATTAGC